TAGGCTTAAGCTATATTATTCATTAAAACTTTGTGCTGGCTATTTCCTATTATCATAACCTTACATTTTTGCTGGTTGAATTTCATCAACCACTCATTCGACCATTCCATTAATAAGTCTATATCTTGTTGAAGTTCAATAACATCATTATCGTTTTTTATTGCTCTAAGGATTGTCATGTCATCAGCAAATAGTTTACAGCTTGATTTTATTTTGTTGGAGATATCATTAATATACACTACAAATAATAGTGGTCCTAGCACTGATCGTTGTGGTACTCCACTCACGTCCTTTTCCCGTTCTGATTTATTATTTCCTATCACTACTCTTTGAAGTCTGTTCTTTAAAAATCCCTGGCACCAGTCAAATAGTTTTGATTTAAAACCAAAAGCATTAAATTTTAACAATAATCTTTCGTGATCAACTGAATCAAACGCTTTGGCTAAGTCCAGAAACAAAACTATTACATCCAAACCATTATCAATTGAACTTGTGATAAAATCTAGAGATTCCATTAAGTTGGTCACACAACTTTTATTATTTACAAATCCATGTTGGTTTTTATTGATTAATTTATTTTCTACTAAATGTTTCATCATTTTATCTTTAATTATTTTTTCCATGACTTTACAAACTACAGATGTTAAAGATACAGGTCTATAGTTGCATGGGTTCAACTTGTCACCATTTTTAAACAGGGGGACGATATTTGCACACAACCATAATTTCGGAAGTTTACCGGTTTCAAATGATTTATTAAACAATAACGATATTGGTTTAGCTAAAGTAGATTTGCACTCTTTTAGAACTTTTGGATGAACTCTGTCCATTTCAGTTGCTTTATTAGTGTCCAGTTTGTTCAAGTATTCTGTTGAAGAATACTTGAACAAACTGGACAGAGGCATTTAAATCTGGATTTTTACAGATTTTTTGTGTTTCTATATCTATTATTGGAGCAGATAAAGTTTGTGGTTTATTGAATGCTGATGCAAAATACCCATTCAATGTATTTGCAATTACTTTTAAATCAGTTTTGATGCTACCATTTTTTAGTTGGATTGCTCTTATATTGTCTTTGACTTTACTTTTATTGTTAATATATGAATAAACTTTCTTGGGGTTAAACTTTGAGTTTAAAGCAAGATCATACTCAAAATCTTTAATTCTTTGATTTACTTTTTTTTTCAAAACCTTGTTTAACTCTTTGTATTTTGCAAGTAAACAATTGTCTCTGAATTTCTGCCTTCGACATTCGAACCAAACGTTTCTTTTTTCTTTTCTTTTTTTGACAGCGCTTTCAATTCTCTATTAATCCGGAGAGGTTTTGTGTTGATTTGAATGCTTCCCAATTTTATGATTGGAATAAAGAGTTTACATCCTTCTTCATAAAGGCTTAACCATTTTTCGTAACATTTGTTTATTTCTAAACCTTTGAATTCATTGTCCCAGTTTCAGATTTTAAAATAATTATTTAATTTATCAAATGGTGATTGATGATTAAGGAGATGGTGATGGTGATTAAGGAGATGATGATGGTGATTAAGGAGACAAAAAAGTATTTTTGATTCATTTTTTGGTTAAATGATCACGAGGCTTAAAATGTTTACTTGCATGGCTTTGTATTTACTAAACCTGAAAACTACATTCGCGGAAAACCTAGAAAATAAGATGCAAAGAAACGAAGCAGCTTTCCTTATTTTGTTACATGTAAAGGAAAAATCATTCTTGTATGTCAGGCAGCATTTTGTACTCCATGGAAGTTTTAAGACTAAATTAATTAATTCTAAATTTTGTTTTAAATCTCTTTTTATGTATTCATGAAACAGTTTTATTGTCTCAAAAGTTAGTCTGTAGGCCGGATGAATAAAAATGAGCAATTGCTTTTACTCAGTAATTGGTCAGCTTTACGTGAATAAAAACTTCAGGAGTATTGCTCAAATTTTTATTCAAGTAAAGTTAAGCAATTTACTCAGTAATTGCTCAGCTTTACGAGAATACAAACTTAAGTCAAATTCCTTATGTTTTTATTCGCATAAAGCTGACCAATTACTGAGTAAAAGCAATTGCTCATTTTTATTCATCCGGCCTTGTATATAGCGTAGACAAAAATGTTTTTTGAGACTTAGTTTACAATTTCAATGCAAAACGACTCGTATAGGGTAGATAATGGTAAAATGAGCACCTTATACGAAAATAGGAATATTTTCAAAAATAATTATGCTGGATCCAAAATATTTGCGAATAAACAATTTTTAGGGATCCCAACTCATGATCCACTTAGATATTTGGGCACCCGAAAATTTTTCTTAAAAACACAGAGGTTTTAAAAAGTAGCAAAAGTGCTCATTTACCCAGACCACTAGGTAACATGAGCACTTTAAATAAGCTTAAAAAAAATAACATTAATTACGTAAAAAAATACCAACCTGACAATTAGAACTAATTTTTGGAATATGATGATTCGTTGGTAAAAAAACTTATCATTAAAAGATCAAGTTGTAAGCCACTTTTTGTTGAAACAATACTACTATGTTTTCCGCGAAATAAAAAAAAAATTAGTTCGTTAATTTTTAAATATTATTAACTTAAACCTTTGAACAATAAAAATTCAAATATTTTTAATTTAAATTACAGAAAAATATTTAGTATTGATAAAATATTTTTACTATGTTTTGTTTTTATTCAAAAAACAATTAAAACCACTGCTATTTTAGGACTTTAAACTCGGTAATTTCAATAAAAAACACAGGGTAATTTGAGCATGCTCGTATTACACAAAAATGGTATCTTTAAGTAAAGTCAAAACTAAATGTTTCTATGCATTGTTTTTCAAACAAAGATTGGATTTTTAGCTTACATATTTTTCTTTATGAAAAAAATAATTTCATTGTTTTAGCGCCAAAATTTTGCACCACAGATTTATTCATGCATGAAGAGATTACTTTAACTACGAGAAAAATTTAAAAGCGTTTTAATTAGATAACAGCCGCTAATTACTGCATATAAATTTACGCTATTTGTACTGATTATCTGTTATCACCGCATAAAGTCGATTCAAAAATTAAAAAGCAACTTTAACTTCATTGCTTACAATTACAACTCTTTAAGTACCCTCTATAAACAACTCGTAGAAAGCGATTCGTAAAACATAAAAATTGCTCAAAAATTGCTATAAAGCTAGCTAGCCGCTAGCTCATGTCAGACCAGGGTGCTAATACCACTACGAAACTCCAGGCTCAACATAAACAAAAAGCTAATGTTTTTAATATTCAAATAGTTTTTAACATCTAAATAATTTTAATACTTTCAAATTAGACGCTTAAAAAAGCGTTAATAAGGCTGTGATTTGTGTAAATTTTGGTAAAAATTTGTCTCAGTTTTAACCGGACAAAAGCATTAAAAACAACAACTTTGATTACAAAATTTGTGAATCCATGAAATTGTTATTGATTGTGCACAAATGTATGTTTATGGTGAACATTTTTTCTCTGAAGGGGTCAAATGGAGTAATTTCTTGCTTTTGTCAATAAATTTCTGACCTTCTTCAATCACTCAACTCAAAAAAATTTTAGTGGACTGCTTTTCTAAAATAAAAATCTGTATTTATTTGATTAAATACTAAATATTTAGTTTGCTTTATAAAATGCTTTTTTATAGTACTCAAGTCCAGATTTTGGGGTCTTTAAAAAAAGTCAACATCTCTAAAAAAAAATTTTAAAAACTTAAAACTTTATGGTTCAGATATTAGTCCATAATAAACTTATTTCAACAAACTAGAATGGAATGCCGAGTTTTAACCAATCCCAGGACCACTTTTATGCTCGATTTTCTAAAATCAGACTTTTTTCAGCTTAAATATTTTTGGAACAAAACCTTCATATGGGTAAAACCAAATATTCTTGTTCCAATCTATACATTTATAACTTTTACTTAAAATAGAGTACTTATGCTCGTTCTTAGGTCATATTTTTATCGACAAAATATTTCGTGGCGAGAACTCATCAGTATAATAAAAATATAATATTAAAAATGTTGGAATAATATATAGGGCCAAACAGTTATTGAGTCATAACTGTTTGAAATAAAATATAATTTTATTCACTTCTTCTTTAATTATTGAAGCATTGCATCTTCAATAATTAAATTCAATGTTTGCTTACTAATCATTTATCAGATTTATTTGCACAAAACTGACAAAAAAACCGGCATCTCTAATAATGAATCTTTTTCATCTTTTACCTTTTGTTTTATGCCAATTCGCACTTACGCCAGTTGCAACTGCATCGCACTTATGCCAGTTATGCCGATTCGCACTTATGCCAATGTCTGTAAAATCATTCGGCGCACTTATGCCAATTCGCACTTATGCCAGTTTGCACTTATTCAATCTCCCGTGATATGTTGTTCATTTTCTTTGTTTATATAAGATAGTTGTTTCAAGCAAATCTAACATATAGATTTATTTTGTTTGACCTAGCTTCCATGACCGTTTTAAGGGTACTCCTTTGCTAGTAATAAATAAACAAAAAGTAGAGTATTTATTAGATAATAATAACTGTATCAACATATAAAAATATGTACACTTCAAAATAATTCATGAAATTTCAGAATTACTTTATGCAATTTTAAATTTGTTCAAAGTTTATTGATGGGTTTGAAATTACATTATAAAATGTCGTGTCATTAAAATGTTTTGAACGTGTAAAGTTTATTATGGGATCATCGTAAAAATCTAAATTCTAATTAGCTTGGGCACCGCGCTCTCTTACATAAAATCGAGGACGTTAGGCACCTTAGCTTTCATCATCTATAAATGGTCCAAAGCTCACTATTTTTAAAACTCGACATATTTTAAGCAAGTTTTTAAACACATCAGCTTCAATAAAATTATATAAATTTATTAATTAAAATATTTTATACTTTTAAATCACAACATATTTGAAAACAAAAAATTAATCTCCTTACAAATTATTTTATAATCTGAAAGAAAAAAATCTTACCCGCAAACTTTTCCATAAGTTTAAAGTAAATGCATTAAAGTTTTTTTTTTTTTTTTATAGATTTCATCACTTTTCAGAAGTTTCTTACTAAGTTTTCATCACTTATTCATCATTATTGCGAAAATAAAGAAAAAAATTCAAACATTAAATTCAAAATGAAAAGAATGTCAGCCATTCATTAAAAATTAACCAACTTTTTTCAATAGAAGTTTTCAAGTGAACAAATTTCATTAACAAAGAATTTCAGGGGATAAAATTTATTAAAAAAAAAGTAAACACATGATTATGTGCATAAGGGATCGTCCATAAATCAACGCTAAATTTATTTGAAAACAGAAGTTGAGCTCTTTTACGCGGTGATTTTCATTAAACTTAACACACTTTTTTTATTTTTTTATTTAACTTAAGGCTCTGCGAGGAAAAACTTTTGAAGTCGATCGAAGGGCACAGTGAATAAAAGGCATTTTCTCCATGATTAGAATTTCGTTCATCTTTATAATGTAATCATTTTATATGCTCCTATATCAGCAATCTTTATTTACAGTTGCTACCACATAATTTTTGACTACCGATTTTAGGTTTGTAATTTTTGTTTTTAGCTAACTAAAGTAAATTTTCCTACCTTCCTAATGTTTGTAATGGAGATCATGGTTGAAATAATTTTAAAAAAGTTTTTCATTCGGATTATTGATATTTATGCTTCCTTTTAGTAGTTTAGCTTTTCCTTTAACAACACTCATGTCCCAAGAAATTAGACTTAAACTTAAATTGTTATGGTGGGGCACAGTAAATCCGGGTACTGTGAATCGGTTGATTCACTATGGCCCACAAATGATCTTAAAGATTAAATTTATTTTTCTTCTCAATTTTCAAAATGTTTATTTTTTTGATTTTATACTAATCTAATTACCAAAAATATGCCAAAATTATTTTGTATCTTAACTGCCTCAGCCTCAGAGTTATTTGACTATGCCAATTTTCAGTGCCATTAATTCACAGCTGTGTTCATTGGTTCACAGTGCCCCAGTACTGGGGGCACAGTGAATCACGTTGCAAAACTCACTTAAACCTTTCTGTGAGCCATTAGAAAACAGATATTTTGGTTTTAGTGATTTTTTATCATGAAGAACATATATCTCAATCCTTTCGCCTTGAAAAAAATAAAATACCTGTTTTAACTTTTGCTAAATTTAAAAAATAAAGAAATCCGATCCACTGTGCCCCGACTTCCCCTACACGATTTTGCTAAAAGAAGAGTACACGGAAAAAAACGTTTTTTCTTTCCCAGCCTCCAATCATCGCAATTTTTTGTAAAGCATCCTAATTTAACATAAGTATAAAAATATAAATTTCATAAGTAACATAAGTCGTGCGACAAGTTTTGTCTTGCAAGACTGTTTTAAAGTCGTGCCATAGGTGTCGCAGAGATAGAAATTTAGATAGAAAGATAAGAAAGATAGAAAAAAAGGCCCACATTTTTTTTTTGTTTTAATTAATAGTTGGTTTTCTAAAGGTTGGTTTCCATATATCTAAAATGGTTGTGCGACAGTCGTGCGACTGTCGCAAGACAGTCGCGCAACCATATAGAAACATAAGTCATGCGACAAGTTTTGTCTTGCAAGATTGTTTTAAAGTCGTGCCGCAATTGTCGTAGAGAAAAAATCTCTACGACAATTGTCGCACGACCTGTAGGGTCGTGCGATTGGTTGAATATTAGAAAACAAACTATTAATTAAAACAAAAAAAAATTCACATCGAAATAAAATGGAAAATAATCAGGAAAGATTTTAGTAAAGAGAGTTTCATGCAGGAAGTAAAGAAATATTTTGTACTATATGACAAATTCGATACAGAATTTAAGAACAACGATTTTTTTTTAAAAAAAGAGCTCCTTGATTTTTGAAATAAATCCTTAAAAATTTCAAAAAAGGCTCCTATAATTGCTGGGCCTTTCCCCAATTAAGTCAAGCGGAGCATAGCCACTGCTCTGTTTTTGTTGTTTTAACAAAAATTTAAAAACGCTTCTAAAAGTAATGGAAACAGCTGGGTCGTGCGACAAATATTGCAAAAGTTGTTGCGTGACAGTTGACGCACGACTTTTGTACGACTATATGGAAACCAACCTTAATACTCGACCAATCGCATTGTAGGGTCGTGCGACAATTGTCGTAGAGATTTTTTCTCTATGACAATTGTTGAAAACGAACTATTAAGCAGCCGTGGCGCAGTGGTAGCGCACTTGCCTCAGAAACGTAATATCCGAGGTTCAAACCCCACCTCTGGGCAAGTTTTGCGACATCGGTTGGGAAGGAGGTGTGAACTTCCCATTAAATGCTCTTCCGTGGTGCTCTGTGATAAGACCGTAAGGACTTCTTGGGGCACCTTAATCAACTTATAAAAAAAAAAAAAAAAACTATTAATTAAAACAAAAAAAAATGTGGGCCAAGTACATCTAATAATCAACAAAAATCTTTAAATGAAATAACATCTCCTATGAATATAAGAAAAAAGAATTTAAAAAGATCTAATGAAAATACAAAGCTAGAAGATGCAATACTCACTACTATGAGCAATATTAATGCAACATTAGGAGTTAGTTACTTGAAGAAAATGATGACATTACAGATTTTTGTAAATCTATTTATGCAACAATAAAGAGATTACTTCCTAAAACCCAAGTAGTTGCTAAAATAAAAATTCAGCAATATTTAGCTGCTCTGGAATTTCCAGATATTGTTTCATGAAATATAATTTGTTAACATTCTTTTAAAAATTTTCAACATTTTGTTATATGTAGTTTTTAAATAGTAATTTAATATATTAATACAACAGTATATTGTTAAAACAGAAGAATGGATGTGTTTTTTTCACTATTGGAAAAAAATTTGATTTCCCGTTATATTGTTTCCACAACTAATTACATAATTATGTTGCCATGACAAGGATCCACTTGGATGATTAAAATATTCTGTTAGCGTTAATCTCACAATGCTAGCATCTGTTGTGTATCAATTGCTTATACATCGAGGTAAAATGTTAAAAGAATTACCTTCAAGCACAATTTTTCTGCAATCTCCAGGAATAAGTTCACCAGAATTTGTTTCTAAATCAGCAAATCCAGATGGTACATAGTAAATGCTGTCACTGAGTTTTTAAACAAATTGCAGCTTTTATGATGTTTTCAATATTTTTAGGGGTTGCTTTTATTGGACGTCTAAATATTCTCCGTTTAGCTTACTATATTTCTGGAGGAGTTATCAATTGTCCTTCTAGTCCTAGATAATCGATAGTTAAAAATACGTTCTTTGCTTCTTAAGTTTTTACCAGAAAAAGGTTTCATTAACCAAGGTTTTATCGCAAAAATATCATCACCAACTAGCACTGGTGGTACTTGTGTGCCATTTGATAGCTGTCAGTTCTTGGGAAGTTTGAACAAATTATTTTTAAAAGCTTTACCCATTTTACTTTCATTAAATATAGATGCATCATTATCTCTACAATAGCTACCTATATCTACCAAAGTAAAGCAGTATTTTGCATCACATATGGCTAGCAAAACCATACTATGATAGTTTTTGTAGTTTTATTAAGCAGATCCACTTGAAACAGATGCTTCAATACATACATGTTTGCTATCTATTGCCCCAATGCAATTAGGAAAATTCCACTCATTTTCAAATTCATTTGCTATTTTTTACTACTCATCTGAACTTTCTGGTGCCTTTAAATAACTTGGTTGCAAAACATCCCAAATAGGCTTTCTTGTTTCATTGATTATGTTGCATACTGTTGTTCTGAACAGTCTAAAATAAAAAGATTGTGTTTGATGTGAATCCCAGTAACCAAATATCTCAGGGTCACAGTCAATCGTTCTGAAGGTTATTAGTTTGAGGGCTTCGACAAGATTTTTTGTTATGCTAGGTGCAACCATTGACAGCAAGTGTTCATACCTTTCAGGAGAAATTCTGTAAAATCTATAAAAAATTCTCTCTCATGAAAGCGTAGCTCAGGAACCAGTGTGGCTTCTTTTTCGCAATAATTTCTTAATAATGAGCGTATCAAAAATTTTTCTTTTTTTCTCTTTACTTTGCAATGTTCTAAGTGCCAGTAATGTATTGCAAAGTACAAGCTGGCATTTTAGAAGACTAAACCTTTTATTATTTTCCATTTCTGAAAATTAATTTATTCATATAATTATATATATATATATATATATATATATATATATATATATATATATATATATATATATATATATATATATATATATATATATATATATATATATATATATATATATATATATATATATATATATATATATTAATATTATTTTAGCTGTTACTAAATTGAAATAAAAATCAAGTTAGTTAAAGTTAAGAGAAATATTGTCCGAAAGAATTAAAGCTGAAGAAAAAAAATCTTTTTATTTTTGCTAAAAAAAAGTGTTGGGATTCCTGTTTCTTTACAATAAAAAGTTGAATCTAAGTTTTATGCAGTAGACATTTTTAACTTGTTACTTTAAAATAATTTTTTGTAAAAACTACAATCCTACAAATAAAATAATACAACAATATTTATAAAAATAAAATAATGTCAGTCTTTACTACATAATCACTATTTGTAACATTTTTTTATATACTTTTTACATAGGCATAAACTAATAAAAGTAGTTATGAGAAATATTTTTTATTTTACAAAAATTTTTTTAGTTTGATGATTAAAAAAAAAAACTTTATTTAAAAACGTATGTTTCATAAATTCAGTTACAGGTTCATAATATTTTATTAAGGCAAAAACGTATTAAAAAAATATAAAATTTACAACCAGTGTTGTGGCTAGTGAATCAGAGGCTCTTCCCAAAACATGTCATAAGGGCTAAAAAATGTTGAAACTACTCTTTTATTATGTGTTACGAAAAGAAAAAGCTCCTTGATTTTTGAAATAAATCCTTAAAAATTTCAAAATAGGACCCCTATAATTGCTAAGCCTTTCCCCAATTAAGTCAAGCGGAGCATAGCCAC